GGGGGGAGAAAACCAACACAGATCAATGGTAGTTTTATAGAATTTTGTGTTCACTGACAATCCTGCTTTTTATATATATATATGAATATACATACATACATATATATATATATATATATATATAGGAGTGAAAAAGTGTTTATTTCCATGGATTTTCCCCTCCTCTTCTCCTTAACCTTTGTTTGGAAAAAGGAAGAAATGAAAGAGATGGGGGAACTCTTTTACCTCTCCCCCTTTCTGAGGCAGTTCCTCTCTTGTCCTTACCTTTATCATTCAATACTGTGACCTGTATTATCTTGTTGAAGCTGAATCAGATTTTGGACCTCTGTATTAGGCTTTTCAAGCAAAATTTTGGGGGGCCTGGGGAGGGAGGGCATCGCACGAGGGAGGGAGCTGCACCTCTACATGTCAGTGCTCTATAGTGTTCAGTGCTGTGTGTTTTCCTTTTGTCCATTTACCTGTTTTCCATGAATATAATTTTGACTTGTTTATGAAACAAATAAACCTTTGGCTTGTACAGAGTGCTTCAAAGAGTTTGAGCTGGAGGGGTGAGACAGCCTTGATTTGCAAAGTGAAGAAAGACTGATCCAGAGGGGCAGAGGCTTCCAAAATAAAATAAAAAAGAGATTTTACAAACCTTTCCTGAGCTTTGCTTTGCTCCTGTGAGTCACTGCCCAGTGGCTGCTCACTCCCTCCATGGCCTGGGAGGTTTTGCTGGCTCATTCAACCCTGCAAGTCTCTGGAAATTTGGGGGACAAGGGTGTATCTCAGGGCTACAGAGGTGGAAGGGTTTGGTGGTCCTCACAAAGAGCCCCAAATTTCTTATTCAATGCAGCCTGGCCCTCTCCTGTGCCCTGCTGGGGCTGTGGCAGCCAGGGGTGATGCAGACACAGCAGGAGGGTTGATTTTCATTTTCATTTTTATTCTTTTCTCCTTTTTCCTTTTACATTTCCTGTTTTCTTCCTCTTTTCCTCTTTCCTTTCCCCTTTTCCTTTTCCTGTTTTCTTTCCCCTTCCCTTTTTCCTTTCTTCTTTCCTTTTCCTGTTTCCTTTTCCTCTTGCCTTTTCCCTTCCCTTTTCCTGTTTCCTTTTCCTTTCCCTTTTCCTGTTTTCTTTTCCCTTTTATCTTTCCCTTTTCTTTCCCCTTTTCCTCTTCCCTCTTCCTGTTTCCTTTTCCCTTTTCCCTTTTTTTTTTTCCTCTTCACGTGCAGTGGAAAAATTCATCCACAACTCTGCCCTGCCAGAGCTGAGTGTTCACACAGACCCCTTGCTCGCTCTGGGTGCAGAAGGAGCTGACAATTTATGCCAAAATGCCTTGTTAGACACTCTGCTGCCTCAGTTTACCCCCAGAACCGATCCTGGGCCACCCAGAACCCCCCAAGCCCCTCAGCACTGGCAATGCCTCCTTCTCTCTCTGCACTTTCCCCAGAATCACCAAACTCTGCTGGTGTGAGCCCACAGGAAAAACTTCCACACTCCACTGCCCCATTTGGTGGGATATAAAGTCACAAGGAGCTGTCAAGGGTCCCCATGAGCCTCCCTGCCACAGCTGCCAGGGTGGATGGACAGACAGACCCCAAACCAGCCCTGGACATGAGAGCAGCACCCCAGAATTCCACCAGCCATACACATGGGTTCACCAGGGTGCTTGAAACCAGTCAAGCAGTTTATTTCTTAAAAAAAAAGAAGAAAACAAAACAAAACAAAACAAACAAACAAAAAAAAAACCAAACAAACCAAACCCCAAACCCAGCAAATAAAAAAATATCCATCCCTTAAAGGTGAAGGTATAGACAGGGCATGGACACAGCTACATCTACCTTCGGCTGCCCCCCACCCACCCACAGTAATGGAGATTTCTACACATTACATTATATAGAGACACATGGACAAACAAATGGGCTTTGGGAGCCTGGCAGGAGCTGGGCACTGCAGGGCTGATGCCCACCCAGGCTGTGCCCAGCCCGTCCTGTCCCCAAATCTCAGCTCCTGGTCCCCAAGCCACGGCAGTGCCCCCCTTGGCACGGCCCCTGATCTCAGGGGGGCTGCTGGGGGGCTGCCCCCGAGTTTGGGGTGCTTCTGGCCACCCTCCTCCTCCTCACGAGGTAGGCAGGGAGGTGCAGGGAGGAGAGGCAGCCTGGCTTGGGGCACAGATTGGAGCGGGGACAGAGCCGTGCCAGCCCCGGGCTCCTGGCATCCTCCCCACAGCAGCTTGGGCAGCCCTGGGCAGGCAGGAGAGTGGACAAGGGGTAAGGCTGCAGGTGTGGGCACCTCCCGAGGGGGATCCCACCGGGACACTCCCTCTTGGAAGCTCTTTGGGAAGGAGGGAGCGATCCTGTCCCGCGCTCAGCGAGCCAAATACAGTACTTGTGTCAGGGAAATGGAGCACGACCAGTTCCGAGGCTCAGGCTGGGAGGGGAGAGGGAACAGCCCTCGCTCAGAGGCCAGGCCACACAAACAGCACAGCTCTCTCTGAGGAGAGCCGGGGCACAGAGGTCTCTGAGACAGAGCTGAGACGAAAAAGCTGTTCAGCAAAGGCAGAGCAAGGACACGGTGCCTGGGAAAAGGACACACAGCGCTTCCACCCTGTATCAAGAGCAGGGATACAGGTCCAGCCCCTTCCCAGATGCTGTGGGAGCTGGATTTGGCTGTGGAGCAGCTCTGGTTTAACTCATCCTGTTCCCACTCCTTTCCAAAGTAGAAGGGGTTGAGTGGAGCCAGGCAGAGCGAAGGCAGCGCTGTCCCAACCCACCCTGCAGCTCTCCCGGGAGCACATCACCACCTCCCGACGTGCCAGCAGGAGCTTTGCTATTGCTCTGGCTTGCAAATGTGGTGCTTTTTGCCAGCTCAGGTGAGTCAGCCTGATCAGGAGCTGATGTGCCACCGGAGGAAACCGCAGGTGGGAGGGAGAGGAATGAGCCACACACCGGGATGCGTGAATTCCCATGGCTGAACATGAACTCTGGGGATTCTGGATATGAGGATGGTCAGGACATCTTTATCAGATAAAACTGCCCCATTGCCCTCCCAGAATGATCCTGGGACCAGTTTTTTTCTGTGTGCAGGCAGTGGGATCTTCGCATTCCCATCTGGACAGAGAAGGAAGTGAGCATCTAGGGAAGTGGAGAATGCTCCTTCAATTCAGCCAGCCTCAAATTAGAGGGAAAACTGTCATTATTTTCAGCAGCAAAACAATGTGGCTGCATTGCTCACACTTGCAATTAGACCAGGGAGGGCAACAGGGCTTGGCCAACACCAAACCTGCCCCTGCCTTGGCAGGGATGTTGGACTGGATGATCTCCAGAGGTCCTTTCCAGCCTCAGCAATCCTGTGACTCTGTGAAACCCACAGACATCCGGGTTTAAAGCTCTTCTGGAGAGAAATGCAGCCCTGAAGATGCAAATAGCCAAGGACAGAAAGGAAGAAAGCAGCACTGGGGAACAACAGCTCATCCTCCTGCTGGGATAAGCAGCACTGAGGGCAAGGCAGGCATGTCAGCATGGAAAAACCCCAGGCTCTGCTTGCCCAGAAGCCCCTCCAAGCCAACCTGGCCCACAGGGTGAAATGCAAGTACCTGGAGGACAGGCAGGTGGGGTGACAAACGAGGCAGGCAGCCCCTGAGCACCAGACCCACCTCAGAACTGGTGGTGATGAGGAGCTGAGCTCCCACATTCTGCATTGCACTTGATAATGTCAGCACCGAGGGAAGGACCCAGCTCCTGGCTGCTGCCCGCCAGCCCGGGGAGCTCCGTGGGTCCTGGGAGGGGGTGGTCCCCTCCTAGTCCAACAGGCAGGGCAGTCTGGGTGGGGAGGAGAGCAAAGCATCCCTTTTCCAGGGTTTCTGGGGTCGTTCTGGTCCTCTGCGCCTTGCATAGAATTCCTCAGCTCTGGAAGCAAGACCCCTCTGATGTTTGGTTGCAGTACTGCAGGGGAGAGGCCTGAGAGCTGTCCTGGAGCAGCACAGCAGGACCTGTTTAAATGAGGGTGCATTTTTCCCTATATTTTTGCACCAGGAGGATGTTGAAGTTAACACTTGTCATCGTAGGGCAGGGAAGGACCAAGGGATGATCCCCGTGCAGGGGGAGCACGGTGCAGCCCTGAACCACAGACAGAGCTGCAGGAACCTGTTCTCAGCAATCTTTCCTCCTTTTTGCCACATTCCTCGTGGCTCTGCTACATCCCTGGGCTAAGCAACACGACCTGCAACTCTTGACCGTGACCCTGAGCTTCAGGGAAAGGCAAATCCTTCTGTGATTTCCTGCATTGGTACCATTCCACCTGGCTGCTGCTGGATTCCTCTCCAATTCACCACAGAGGTGGCAAAACATCACTCAAGGTGCATCTGCCCAGCACAGAGAACCACGGGAGCCAAGTCCTTTGGGGAATGTGAGGAGGAGGGTGGGTACAGGGAGCACAGGGGTGGGGAGGGGAGGCCGAGCTGCTTCCTCCAGCTGCTGCCAAGGGGCTCCAGCTGGGAGGCGTGGGATTTCCAATTATTATCTTTTCTTTTAAAGCCAGCCTTACAGAAAACTATAAATTAATCTGCTCATTAAATACTCAGGTGAGAGAGCCGGGAGCCTCCGGCTGTGGAGCAGCTACGGCTTCTTCCGCAGGTAATTGGAAGGGATCCAGCCCTCCCAGCAGGGCCCCCCAGCCAGGACCTTGCAGAACCACCAGCCACTGCTGTTCTTCTCCCGAACTTCAAACAAAGTCCCTTCTCTGAAGCTGTTGGTCTCCTCGTCGCCTTCAAAATCCGCCACTGCCACGTAGAGAGCTTCCCTGGAGATGTCGGGGGCTGAGGTCCTCTCCTTGGCCTCCCCTCTCTCCACGGGCTTGGAGATGACCTTTGGGTTGATGCTGCTCCTGGCTTTGGCTTCGTCTTGCATGCAGGCAGAGAGGAAGGGCTTGGCTTTGGGGGGGACCAGCATGGGCCTCCCTGGCACTGCCGAGGGCCTGGCCTCGGGCGCTTCCCGTGCCCGGGGCTCGGCGGGGACGGAGGCAGGAGCTCCCATCTTCTTGGGAGGGGGTGGCCTGCGAGGTGGCACCACGGGGCGCTGCGGAGGGGTGTCCCTGGCACAGGGGGGGCTGGCTGGGCCCAGGGGAGATTTGGGCAGTGCCTCTTTGGGGGCAATGTCCAGCTTGGGCTGAGCTTTGCTCTCCGTGCCCGGTCGCTCTGGAAACCTCCCGCAAGGCTCTGAGGAGACCACGGCATTGCTGAAGCTTTCCCCGGTGATGGGGTCCTGCTCTGAGGGCTTCTCTGGGCACTTGGCAGGTCTCAGCTTGCTCCTCAGGCTGCAAATGTCCAGTCTGTCATCGGCCAGAGGTGTGTCAGTCCGGGGGGATGCAGCGGGTTTTGGCCTGATCTGAGGTCTCGACTTCAAGAATGGGTTCTGGGTGATGGGCTCAGGTTTGTCCTCCACAGGCTCAGCTTTTGGCTTGGTTGGCTTGACAATGGGCCGGAGGTTTGGCTTCTTCACCTCCTTGGCCGACACCTTGTGGCCACATTCCAGACCCATCTCGTTTTTCAGCTGGAAGAGTTTGCCCTTCTCCGGTTTGAGCTCCGGCTTCTTGCTGTCCTTTGGGGCTGCCGACTGCTTGGGTGGGATCATGGGCAAAATCATGCCTGGGGGCTTGGGGGGAGGTCTCTGCCTCTCTAGTAACTCTCCTTCCGATTTAATGATGGACTCCTTCCTGGGTGGAAGGCTGGGCTTCTCCTCGGTGTCGCGGTCCGAGATCTCCTCGTAGCCGCCGGCCAAGGACAGGTCCCCACTGTCAGGAGCCTCCTTCCCCTTCCAGTCCTTGCCCCACCTCCCGCTGCAGTCCATGCCGTTGGGAGGAGCCTCTGGCAGAGGTCGGCAGGGCCCTGTCACCTCCTCGCTGGCACTGCCATCGGTGTCGCCCAGCCGCAGCTGCGCCATCTCGGTGGGGAGGGGAGCCAGGAAATTGGGCCTGGAGGCGTTGCTGGTCTTCTTGTACTTATCAATGAAGGTGGCGGGGGCCCAGCCCTCCTTCTCCTCGATCTGGATGTACCACCAGCCGCTCAGGTTCTTCTCAATAACCTGCCCGGGGGAAAGGAGACCTCAGGCAGCCACTCTGCACTCAAGGGTCTTTGAAATTACGGCAGCGTAATATGTAATATACATTATGAAGTAATTAGTGCTAAATGAAATTAAAAACCACAGCGTCTCGTGTACTAAAACCAGTGCAACAAGAAAGCTAAGTGATAGAAATTCAAAATACCAAGACACTGTCTCCAGAAATGTATATTCCAAAGGATTTCTCGTCTGACAAGACCCCAGCTGGAGACATTTCTGATAGGCATCATCAGAAGGTTATCCTGATTTTCACCTGAAGGATTCCAGCAATTTTCCTGTTCTGGGAAAAGCACGATAATGTGCTAAAGAAAGCCCCTCTCAAAGCCCAAGAGACTGCACAGAAATGGACCCCTCAGAACTGAGCCTCGGAGACCCATGGGGACTTTGGTGCCATAGAAGCCAAGTCCCGAGTTCCCCCAACACCAATCCCCTGGCTCAGAGTCAAATCACTTGTGGCTTTCCTTTTTTCCAAATTTATACTTTGATCACTTAAAAATCTTCTTTAATTATTAAATCGCAGCAGCCATTTTTAACAGCAGGGTGACACATGGCCTCGTGCTGCTCCAGCCAAAAGCCACGGAGTCCCAGGAGTGGCATCCTAAGAGTGGTCCAGGCTGCCAGGGAAGGCAGGGGCTGAGGAAGAGGAAGAGGAAGAGGAAGAGGAAGAGGAAGAGGAAGAGGAAGGGCTGCTGGGCTCTGCCCCTCCCGGGACGGGTGCCAGGCGCTGGCGGTGGCCACGGCGCGGCACTGTTGGAGCAGTGCAGCAGTAGAGATGGATCCCGTGTGGATCCCACACTGCCCAGCCTCTCTGCAGCTCCAGGAGCAGGGCTGGGGCCTGCCAGGGGCTGATGGGGCAGCCCTGAAGGAAAAATCCTCTTAGAGAGGCATTAAGTCACATCCACACACGGATAAAGCAGAATCCCATCTGCAGGAGGGGTTGTGCCAGCAAAGAGGGTGCGCCAGGAATTTGGGAAGGGCTTTTAACTTTACACCTGGTCTAAGAGGAAAAACTCCCATCTCCAATTCCATTTGTGGTGTGGGTTTATTTTCCATTTGCTCAAACAGAGCACTCACACCTGGGGGACAGGAGGCCACCAAGAATGGTGTGGGGCCAGCGTCTCTTTTGAGCTCCTACAGGTTTTTATCCTGCTCTCAGAGTTTGGAATGTTCACAGAGACAAAACCATGCCTGGTTTGCACTCAGAGCACCATGGGGTGCAGATCTCCCTGGCCTGGAAGGTGCCAGGGCAATGGGAGCCAGGAGTGCTGCCCTGGAGTGACAGTGTGTGAAGGGAAGGTGACAGTCTCACCTCTACTTTCATTCCTGCCTGGAAGCTGATGCCATCAGGGATGGTGGTCTGGAAGTCAGCAATGGTGTAATATTCCTCTTCCACTTGAGGGGGGACAGGAGGCTTAGGCAGGTTCAAACCACGGGGCTGTGCCAGGAAAACAGAAAAGCCATCAGTGTGTTTGTACAGCAGGTGTGACACCACATCCAGGCATGGGGACAAGATCCCAACCAGCGACCAGAGCTCCCTGCAGTGCTCCCCTCCCTCCCCTGTGCCACTGCTGCCCTCCCACACCAGCTGGCACTTACTATGGTGAGGTCTCGGCGAGGGGGTGGCCTCTGCCTCATCTTTGGTGACTCTGTGGAGGAAGAATTCCAGATGCTGTTGAGTTTCTGGCTTTTGAGCACGTGTTCATGAAAGACAAGTGAGAGACAGAACAGAAAGGCAAGGACTAAACCTGTCCGAGGGAAAGGAACCTAAAGGAGGCATCCATTAGCTCAGAGCCCAGGTCACCCACAGGTCTCAAGGGCTTCCCAGCTTTCAGGTTCTCCTGGGAAATGCAGCTGAGGTGACCACATGAAATTATTTTTGCATTGCAGGACTGACCCAGAGGACACAGCCTGCAGAGGGGTTAAGATCACAGAATCCCAGAATCACGGAATTGCTGGGGTTTGAAAAGACCTCAAAGCCCTTCCCATTCCACCCCGTGCCATGGCAGGGACACCTTCCACCATCCCAGGCTGCTCCCAGCCCTGTCCAGCCTGGCCTTGGGCACTGCCAGGGATGCAGGGGCAGCCACAGCTGCTGTGGGCACCCTGTGCCAGGGCTGCCCACCCTCCCAGGGAGGAATTTCTTTCCGAAATCCCACCTTAAAACTCCTGTCAGTTTGAAGCCATTTTCCCCTGTCCTGTAAAACATCCTATCAATATTTCAGGCAGGCTGAAACACATCTGAGGCTGTGTTTGGTGCCCACCTGAGGCCGTGTTTGAAGCCCACCTGAGGCCATGTTTGCAGCCCACCTGAGGCCGTGTTTGGAGCCCACCTGAAGCTGTGTTTGGAGCCCACCTGAGGCCGTGTTTGAAGCCCACCTGAGGCCGTGTTTGGAGCCCACCTTAAGCTGTGTTTGGAGCCCACCTGAAGCTGTGTTTGGTGCCCATCCGAGGCTGTATTTGGTGCCCACCCCAGGCTGTATTTGGTGCCCACCCCAGGCTGTGTTTGGAGCCCACCTGAGGCCGTGTTTGCAGCCCACCTTAAGCTGTGTTTGGAGCCCACCTTAAGCTGTGTTTGGAGCCCACCTTAAGCTGTGTTTGGAGCCCACCTGAGGCCGTGTTTGGAGCCCACCTTAGGCTGTGTTTGGAGCCCACCTTAAGCTGTGTTTGCAGCCCACCTGCCCTGCCCAGCACTCACTGCGTCGGATGTCGGTGCCGGGCAGGGGCCGGCTCTCCAACCTGCCGTCCCTCTGGCCGCCCAGCCCGTCCTTGTCCCTGCTGGCCAGCAGCTGCTGCCTGGAGATGCCATCCAGCTCCAGGGCACTGCAGTGAGCCGAGGAGCCCGAGCCCAGCTTCGGTGGGAGCACATCTCCATTGCCCTTCCTGAGGTAGGAGGCAGGGGCCCAGCCCTCCTGGCCCTGGTACCTGTGGGGACAAGGACAGCAGGGTCACTGCACAGAGCCCCTGGGACACGCCAGGGATGTGAGCCCAGAGCTCAGCACACACCTTGGCTGAAGCTCTGGGCAGCAGGAGCTTGCCAGGTTCTCCATGGCACCAGGAGAGCTCCCTCATGGCTAATGCTCCCACACAAGCTGGCCCAAGCCAAGCCAAGGGCTGGGAATGCTGTCAAGCCCAGTTTTCACCTCAGCAATGGCACCGGTTCAGGAGTGAAGGGCTCTGGCAGGGAAAGCAGGGGGAAAAACAAGAGGGCTGCTGCTGGGATTGATGTACCTGGTCTGTGGAGAGACCTCTTCCTGCTGGAAGCCTTTCCCTGCTCTAAATCTGTTTAGGAGAGAAACCAGCCCTGTGACCTGATTGAAAAACCACATCCACAGTGCCCCTGCCATGCAGACCCTCCCCGCTGGCTGGGCTGCAGCCACCTCCTCCAGATGGCACCAACTCCCCAGCTTGGAATTGCCTTTCCAGCTCCTGTGGCAGCTCTCCTGTGCCTCAGTGGATGTGTTTCTAGGGCTGTGCTGCTGCCAAGAGCACAGGTTCAGCATAAGGTTAAGAAAATTGCAGAAAACTGAGCAAGCCCGGCCGTTTGCTCGACCACAGAGAAGAGAAAATGAGCTTCCAGCAGAAAACAACCCTCAGCTGGGGATGGGCTGGAGCCTTTGGCTCAGCAAGCCCTGCACACAGCAGAGCTGGCCCAGACCTGGCCATTCCCTGCAGGAGCCTCCAAGGTAGCCAGGGGATCCAGCCTGCCCTGGGACATTCCTGGGATTTCCCACCAGCAGGATGTGACATCCCAGTAAAGCTCTCACACCTTGGCTCTGCTGGAGGACACAGCCACCTCCCAGGACAGGAAATCAGGGCACTTCCAAGATTTTCAACCAAAGCTGTGCTTGAACATCAAATCTGTCAGGATGGAGAGTGTCAGAACTCCAAATGTCCCTCAGACATTTTTGGAGGTTCCAGGCCTTGGTCAGAAGCATTTTAGACCCCGGCAGGCAGCTGGAAACAGCTGTGATTTTGGGTTTGAGCCATGGAATGATTTACCAACCTTGCAGGTGGAACAAGAAGTCACAAAAGTTTAGATATTAGAGTAGAAGTAGTCACAAAGTAGAGGGAAGAATTTTTGAGTGCTGTACAGGGGGGTTTTAGCACCTGTCCAGGGGGGTTTTTACTTTGTACATGGGGGTCAGAGGTTTTAAGATGGATTTGGGATTTGGGCCTGACCTGTCCTCCCTCTTTCTTCTTCCTTACCTCCATGTTCTTGGTGATGTTGGCACTCACAGATTGGTTTAGAGTAGAAAATCACCATGTAATATAGGTAACAGGCATTGGGGAAAAACTGTAACCATGCAACACGTAATGTACCATATAAAAGATAGAAAATCACCATTTAATATAGGTAATAGGCACTGGGGAAAAACTGTAACCATGTCACACATAATGTCCCATATAAAAGAGAGCAGCAGCCCTGGGTGGGAGAGAAGAAGCAGTTGGGGTCAGAGAGGATGTCAGGGTGTGTGTGTGCCTCTGCCTGAGCTCTGAGCAAACCACAGCAGCCCAAGAAGAAAATCTTTTAGATAACTTGCAATAAACTGCCTTGAGACCAACAAAAGAGACTGCTGAGCCTTTCTTTGGAAGCTTGGGTTGGAGGAGAGACTTTTCCACCACTCGGAGCCCCTGAACCAGGCCTGGGTTTGGTCAGAGAGAAATGGGATCTGGAATTCTGCCCTCCCCAGCTCCCAGACTTGCCTTGGGACTGGACATGCCACAGCCCCAGCTGCAGTGCCTGGGACAGTACCTGATTTTCCACCAGCCCTCCAGGTTCTTCTGGATCACCACCACCACGGCCCCTTTGTCCAGGTTCATTTCATCCTGGTCTCTTGCAGTGTAGGGGTAAATAACCGTGTACTTCTCCTCTGTTGGGAAGAAAGTGAAGTTTCACAGAGGAACTGTTTGATGGAAACTTGGCCTCAGCTGACAAATGGCTATGAAGTGCTTTATACAAATGCAAATTCTTGTAATTTAGGTGCAAGCACACAGAGGTACACGACCATTCAAAGGGAAATGACAGTGATATGTATTTGGAAATATAAACTTTGGTGAGCTGCTCTGGCCCAAGAAGCTCTCTAAAACAGTTTGTCCTCACCCTTAGGACTAAAGACTTTTCACAACTCATCACAGAAGTGCTTCCATGTATCCATTTCAGCTCAAATTTCATTCTCAGAGTCTTTAAAGAGGAACTATCCTCTGTAAGAGAAGAGAAATCCCACAGGCATGAGGGGCAACCCCATGCACAACCCCACTCAAACTGCTCCAGAGCAGCAGATCTGCAGGAACGTCACCATTTAACCCCCAGGACATTGGTCAAAGCCATGTGGGGAGCCTGGAGAAAAGCCTGATGTCCTGTCCATGAGAACAAGGGATGGTGAGCAGGAATATGGATGTTCTTCCCTTCAGGAGGAAGGAGAAACATCCAAAAAGCCATGCAGACATGCCAGATAATAAATGGGTCCATCCACCCTCTCCTCTCCCTCAGCTTCCTCTCTGGAAGAAACATAAGGAAATAATTGCCTGTGCCTTGGGAGTTCCACAACAGGGTGAAGGCCAATCTGCCTCCAAAATGCAGCCCTCTGGACTTCCCTACATCCCCACCATGTGGGTTTGCTGGATTTACCTTCTGGGAGTGGCACAGCTCTGATTTCCCACCCCCTTCACGCAGAGGAGACCAAGCTGGATGTGTCCTGTCACATCCAGCCAGAGCTTCTCCTCCTGAGCCCACCTTGAGGCACCAGCCCAGGTCACTGCAGGAACTCAGGCAGCAGGTGCAAGAATCCTGCACGTGTGTTCTGGGGAAAGCAAAAACTGCAGTTCTGAGCCCAAACAAGACGTGAGAAGGAAGAGCTGAGAGAGGAGAGGGACGTGCACACGAGGGAAGGCTGGGGAGCAGGGGTGGCCCGCTCTGAGGCTGACACATGCACGGCAAGCTGACATGCACACGAGGCTCCAAGCACAACACAGGGGTAGCCAAAAAAGTCTCTGTGTGCTCCACCTTGACCCCAGCCAGGGGTGTACAAGTCCCCAAGAGTCCGGCGGCGGCCAAGGTGCCTGGGCAGAGACCAGTACCTCCATGGCACTGGGAACAGCATGGTTGGGAAGCAGAAGGACAAGAGAGGACGTAAAGAGGTGGCACTTCAGCTCCAGGAGGAGACAGGGCTGACACAGAGAGTCTCAGCTGGAGCCCTCCCCAGGCTGAGCGCCCCAGACGAGGGGCTGAGCCAGCTACTGCTCTGCCTTGGGCACACGGAGCACTGGGAAGGACGGGTTATCCAGGGGCACCTGGGATTTGCTCCCAGGGCAGGCTGGAACCTTGCCTTTCCCACGCTGTGTGCTCCTTGCTCTGCACGTGTTGAGGTCACATGCATTGTCCAAGGACCTGGGCTTTGCTCCTCCTCCAGGGCAGGTAAAACAAACATCTCCCTGGGCTGAAAGGAGGCACTGGGGTGAGCGTTCCTTGGAGGTGGCACCTCTGTGGAGGAGCAGAAAGGCCAGTGGATACACCACCAGCAGCCAGCTGCCCAGTCCTGCTGCAGCACCAGGCGGGCAGGACCATTTTTGTCCCTTTTCCCAGGTTTTGTTCCTGGGTTTTGCTTCCTCCAGGCTCGTGCCCTGCCCCACTCAGGGAGGGTGATGCAGTGCCTCCAGCAGAGGAAGCTGGGGCAGATGCCTCCAGCAGCTTCTTACCTTCATCAGGCTGCATTGAGAACTCGTCCTGGACTCCATCCTGGGCCTCCAGGCAGGTCGCTGGCACCCAGCCTTGCTCCTCCAGCGTGCTCACAAACCACCAGCCTGAGGAGAAAACAGCAGGAGGCTCAGCCAAGGGCTCACACCAGCCAAAAACTCCCTCCCTCCCTCCAAACCACATGTCTGGGGGGCTGTGACCCCTTTCTTGCATCTCCACGGGAAGCTGGGGTGACCCCCAAAGCAACAGAGCCAAGCACAGCAGAACTGCAGCTGAGCGACATCTAAAAGTACAATTCCCTCCCCAGGAAAACCAGGAGAGGCTCTGAGAGCTGAATGGCTCCAGCCACTGCGTTTGCTTTCGGTTTTTTCTGCCCCTTCATGGTTCATTTTCCCTCAGTGTGGGTCAGCAAGCCTGAGCTAATTAGCAGAGATGAATGCCCTGTGTGTGAATCGATAGCCGAGTCCTGCTGCGCTCGCCTTCTTCCCATTTGTGGAAACAGCAGAACTGAAAAGCCACGAGCAAATGCAGGATTTAAAACATCAGCTCTCCCAGGGGAAGCCCAGCCAGCTCCAGAGAGGCCACAAGCAATTCTGGGCCCCCCTGTGTGTCCAATCAAAACCAATGCCTGCTGCTCGTTATTAAAAGCACAAGTTGTGTCTTTAGGGGGGAAAATAAAGACTGAGTATTACCCTCAGAACCCCCCCAGCGAGTCATTGAGAAAGACAACCAGATTGTCAGGGAAGGGAATCAGCTACCTGCATGGGAGGGAAAAGCAGGGCTGGCCTTTGAGAAATAAATTGTTTTCCACAGCTTTTGTGCTGGCTGTGCTAATCGTTTCATTTGCTTCAGGGTTGCTTTTATTTCTGTCGTTCTCAAACAGAGCTGCTGGTGCAACTGATCCTCTGGCGACCAATAGTTAAAATCTATTTTCATTTAATTCCCCCCAACAAGCAACTTCTGTGAGCTTCAGGGAATAAATTCTCCACAAGCTGGGTCTACAGCATGGCTCAGTCCCTTTGCAGAGGTTAAGAGCAAGTTGCAGCTTTAAAGCAAGCGAAGAGCTCGGCTGCTGCCCACAGGAATTGTGAAAATGCACCAAGGGGGCTTTCATGGTCCCCCTCTGTCCCTAAAACCAGCCTGCCAAGCCCAGGGATGGCTTTTGCCCTCAGGACACACCAGGCAAGTTTTCCAGCACCAAAAGCACCAAGCAGATGATAGTAAAAGGGTTTAAAATCATGGGGATTTAGGGTTAAAAGGAAAATTAAGCTTAGTAGGCCCTGAAAAGAAAATAAATACCCTGAGTACAGGAAGACTTTGTACCTTCCTAGAACTGCACCTGTGTAGCTAGTACATGATAAATGATATAATTGTTAGATGTGATGATTGTTTAGTAATTAAATATAATTACTGTTTAATCGTAAGAATAATCATGAGAAACTGTGGTCAGGGATCTAAGAAAGAGCACGAGAAACTCGTGGCAATGTATACAATAGAACAATCTAAGTTTAATAATTAATATGTGAGTTATATAACAATAGAATATAAAATACGTTCAGCTCGAAAGCCATGTTGGAGTCAGATTTGGGTTGGTAGCCCTGATTCCCAGAGCTCTCAATAAAAGCACCTGCAGATAATGATACCCTGTGATTCTGTGTGTTCCTGCACGCTGACACAGAGACTGCTCGGATGAAGGCACGGGGGGAATTCAGCCCTGAGTGTCACCCTGATTCTTAAGATTTTCTAAAGCCTTCTGAGTTTACGTTCTGTTGGAGAACTTTCCCACACAATTTTTATGCACAACATATTGTTTTGCATTCTTTTATGGGGGTGGAGAAACTTGATGTACTAGTGGTTTGTCCAATGTCTTTGGAGAGGTGGCCCCAATCTAATGTCACCTTTGGGAAAGTTTAAAATTTGGATTCGGAGAATAAACTTTCTTCTTTACCTTGCAAATAGCAGGTGGCTTGTGTTGTGCTTTCACGTGTCCTATAGTGACACTGAGAGAGCCCTGCAGCCTGGCCACACTCACAGAGCAGAGCTGCTCCCTGCACAGCCCCCCGTGCCCGTGGCATGCCTGGGGGCTGAGCTGCTCCAGGAACACACGGACAGCCCAGGACTGCTCCTGTGCAGCCCCAGAAGCCCAGCTCCCTGTACCTGATTCGTTCTTCTCAATGATATCCACCACCTGGCCCACGCACAGGCTGATCTCCGAGCTCTCCTGCTTCTGGTAGTCGGCCACCACGACATACTGCTCCAGCACCAGGGGCTCAGCCGAGGCACAGTCAGCTCCTGCACAGTGAGGGGGACAAAACCGACCCGTGTGCCAGGTCAGCGCTGTCCCCAGGGCACGGCCACCGCCACCGAGCAGCTCCAGGACACCCCGGGGACCCCAGCGTGACAGGGGTGAGCCAGAGATTCGGGCAGAGTGAGGGGGACAGAGATCAAACCAGCAGCCAGGTGAGGTGGGGACAGGCAGCTGAGACCTGCTGCTGCCCGCCAGAGCCATCCAAGCAACCTCCACCAGCCACACCCCAGCCTGGACCTGCCTGGGGTTTTGGGGACCCTCCTGTGCACAGGGGCTGCCCCAAACCAGAG